TGAGCAGGGAGCCCGATGCGGGACTCGATCCCGGGACTCCAGGATCATGACCTGAGCCGAAGGCAGTGGCCCAACCAACTGAGCCACCCAGGCGCCCCCCTGTAAGTCTACTTTAACATATAAAAATTCCTTTGGAAACCTCCTTTATCTCTACCCCCCAAGATACATGTTGGCAATCATCCCCCAAGCATATGACCCGCCGATATACATCTGAAGGGTCTCATGACTCAGGTTTTATTAGACAGTAATAAATGACTTTTTCCCAACAAGAGCTAGCCCCCTCAAAGTCCTGGAAACCGTGCTTCGAAAATTCCTTAGAGACTCACGCTATCCTGAACACTCTCCCAACTTGAAATTTCGTCTATAATGGGCCACTCCTCATGACCCTCGTGCCGCTCTTTCTGCCCACGGGTCCTGTGCCCGTGCTTTAATAAAACCACTTTTTGCACCAAAGACGTCCCCAGAATTCTTTCTTGGCCGTCGGCTTCGAACCCTAACATCTTTCCTACATCATATGGATAAAGGTATGTGCAGTAAAGTATAGAAATATGGGTGGGAAGGATATACAGCAACCTCAGGACAGTTGTTACCTTCAGGGAAGGTGGAGAATGCAAGGGAAAGCATTTCCAACATATCTTTAACATTTTTTTTTCTTTTAAAAGAAGGTTCTAAAATAAATATGACAAAAAGAAAAGTTGTTCAATCTACCGATTGTCATAATATTCTCTACTTTTTTTCTTACACAGACAAATATTTGTCCTATTATTCTCTGCTTTTCTATATGTTTTAAAGACTCCGGAATTTTTTAAATGAATAAAGAATTTTTAAGTTGCAAAAAAATCACAGTTTTTGTAATAAAACCTGGTGGGCTTGGAAGCAGCATCAGTTGAGTAAAAAGGCGTCATTTGCGGTCAGCAGCGAAACTTGTTGCTGGAGTTGCTTGCTTGATAGGCTTTATTGGAAAGATGTGGTTTGGGTCAAAGGAGCAAAGGAAACCAGCCCTTCAAAGGGAATGTCTGATTGCGCTTTGCCGTTCCGCGCAGCAGGGGGCGCAGGTGGGGCAAAGGTACCTGCTGTCCGTAGGGGGCGCGGGAGTCACAGGCACCGTGTTTGTGTCCATGGTACGCCAGAACACACCTGTCATACCTTTTGAACAAAATTTGCTAACAATCAGAATTGCAGCACTCGGAAAGAATCCGTTTTTAAAATTGTATTTTCCCTAACTTATATAATATATAGGTATATACATACAGATGTACTTACAAGAAAATATTTACACTATACATAAGCTTTTGTAAACTTCCCCCGGCCTCGACTTAAAATTTGGCTATGCCTGCCTTCTTTGCATGCCAACAAATCGAATGGATAGTTAATCATTTTTAATGGCGGCAGCATATGCGACTGTTGGAAGCTGCTATAATTTACTTAACCAATCGTTTATTGTGGGACGGATTATGTCCGGGTTTTTCCGGGCATAAACAACAATAAATATCCTTGTACGTACATATTCGCACATTTGACTGTTTACTTAAGACACATTTGCGATGTGGAATTCCTGGGCCAAAGCTAATGCTTTGGAATTTTGATCCACATTTCCAAACTGGCCTTCTAGAAAGCGTTTTCGTTTAGTTGGTTGGTTTTAAGTCAGATTGCACTCCCTCAGGCAAGGTAAGGGAAAGCTGTTTACCGCACAATCGGGGCACCGTAAACTCTTGCTGAACTTTTGAACGATCCCTTCCCGGGGAAACTGCCTGCGGGGTTTTCCGGGCGCCTTTAAAGGCAGGAAACTGCTGCGGGGAACCCCGAGACCCCCC